ACTCAAAATGTGAACAAACCTTCAAATCAGATAGATGTTGCCAAAATGTTTCCCATATAACAGTTTCATTAGCTTGAGGAAGAAAAATAAAAGAAGTCATCCAGATGTTAAAGCTTTTCAACAAGGCTCCATCTTTATCAAAGCTTGATAGTGGCTCTATTTGTCTTGTTGCAGCACAAAATCATGGGGAAGAAAAAAGGTTGTCCCATTCTTTTTGAGTATGCTTTGGAATTATAATTTTTTTTTTGAAATGTTATGTAATCATTTTTTTTTGGCCAATCACATCTTTTGTGACATTGACACATTTGGCCAAATTTGATTTTTTATAAACTAAGGAAAGCTACCTGACATAATTCGTTTAACTTGTACTATGATTTACCTGTATGAAATTCCATTTAAGACCAGCGTTTGATTAGTCGAGCTTTATGCATTCAGAAACTAGAAATTTTCTTTTATTCGTATGGCCATTAATCATAATTGAGACATGAAACTTGTTAATTGCTCAAGGGTAGCACATCAGGGACTACTTGATTATATTGCTAGCTTTTGCAGAAAGAAATGTGCCGAATAGATTGGCAGGGACAAGAAAGGGCAGAGGATGTGTAACGACATTAATCTTACATTGAAAAAATATGTAAATATAATATAATATATATATATATGTATATAAAGATCTAAATTTAAATTTGTGAGATATTTTTATGAGATAAAATCATGAGATTTTTGAGTCAAAGTATATAATTTTTCGCGGATTAGGTATGGGTCTTCATAATAAGTATCAAAGCGATCACTAGTTGACAGAAACTAAATGTTACATCGTAAAAGTTACTAAATGTTACATGATGGAACCATAGGAGTCACTAAATATTATACGATGAGAATCTATCTCTAGAATCCCAATGTCTTGTGTGATTTTAGTCTTATAATTGAACTTGACTTAATAAGGATGTATAGCTTTAAAGCTGAGGATATTGTAATACCCTCAATCTCACATTAGAAGAATACGTAAATATAATAATATATATATATATAGAGATTTAAACCTAAATCTGTTAAGATCTTTTTATGGGGACAAAATGTAACACAGATTTTTAGATCAAATAAATAATACCTGTATAGGTGAGTGTGAGTCTCTTACAAATAATATTGAAAGTGGTCACCAGTCAACCAGGAACTAAATTCTACATGAGAGTCACTAAGTTCTCATATCGGTAGGAAGCTACGTCTAAAATTCATGCTATATGGTAGGAAGCTACCTCTAAAATTCTCAACTTTTTAGGTGATTTGGTCCCGTGATTGATTCGACTTATAGGAACGTAAAAACTTTAAAAGTAAAAAGATTATAATGCTTTCAATATCACATGTGGAATAATGCTGGATATGATATGATATGATATATATATATATATATATAGAAATTAAATTTCAAACTTATGAGGACATTTTTTATGAGATAAAACTGTGAGACTTTCGAGTCAAAGAGACAATACATCGCAGGTTGGGTGCGGGTATCCATAAATAGTATCAAGCTATCACTAATCGACGGGAAATTAAGTGCTACATCATGGGAGTCATTAAATGTTACAAGGTGAGAAGCTACCCGTAAAATCCCAACATATATATGTAGAGATCTAAACTTAAATTTATGATGCACGTTTTTATGAGACAAAACCATGAGATTTTTAGGGTCAAAGTAGACAATACTTTATAGGTTGGTGTCATTTTTACAAATGGTATCAAAGCAATCATCAATTGACGAAAACTAAGTACTATACCATGAGAGTTACTAAGTGCTATATGTGAAAGCCATGAGAGTCGCTTAGTATTACATAGTGGAAGCCAACTTCTAGAATCTCAATGTTTGGAATGATATTGGTCCTATAGATAAACTCGACTTGACAGGGACATTAAGTCTTTAAAAGTGGGATGATTGTAATGCTCATAATCTCACATTGAAACAATGTGTGGATATGATATGATATATATGTAAATATCTAAATTCAAAACTTGTGAGGAGCTTTTTGTGCGACAAAACTATGGGACTTTTGAGTTAAAGCGAATAATACCTCACAAGTTGATGCGAGTTTTGTAAATTGAAACCGGATAGATAAGGATTTGATCATTTAGATTTATTTTTGTGGTATTTAAATTTTGGAAAATTTGTATAAATTAATATTTTAAAATATTAAAACTAATAATTTACATTCTAAAATTTTAAATTATGTATCATGTTAATTTAATCTCTAATCTTGTCAATCATATCAATTTATATACATGACATTTGACAAAAATTATCAAATTATATATTCATCCACACGTATTATCAATATCTTTTTTCAATAAAAAATATTAAAATATATATTTTATCTAACTGTAAAAATTGTTTATGATTTGCTCATTATTATTTGTTACCATAATATCCACATGATATTTTTATAAAATATTTTAACATTTTTATTTAACAAATAACATACATATAATTATACTATTAAATATCATAAAAAAGTTAGTTAAATTAGCAATATTAAAATTTGAATTAAAATAATATATTATTTAAAAATTTATGATGCAAATTATATATTTTATTCTTTAAATATTAATTATATTTTTTTTCAAAATTTAAATACTAAAAATATAATTAACTCTTTTAAGTTTCGATTTTTTAGATTTAATCATTTATGTCAAGTTATCTCAAGTTGCGGTCCAAATCATTTCATAATAGAATAAAATTGATAATTAAATTTTGCATTTTTAATATCAAGTACATATAACTACGAGTATTGATCAAACCAATCTCAAGTTTCAATCATTTTATGTTCCTATCATTTTCGATTTAGATTCTTTTGTGTCTAAATAATTTCGGAATTAGGTTATCTTGGATTTGAGTAATTACATATCTAGAAGAAATCAATTTATATTAGTGTAAATCTTACACTTTCTTTTATTTTAATTTTAGATTAAAATAATTAAAATTAAAAATTTTAATTTGATTCAAATTAATCATGAATTTAATTTTGATCGAGGATAAAAAAAATATAAAACTTACATTAATGTAAGTATATCAACTCCTTCATTTTTTAGTTTCTTTAGATTCATGTTTTTATGTTTTGATCAATTTGTGAGGTTTTCATGCCATTGTTGTTAATTTCATTTCGATATTCATCGTACCGATCAATATGTTTTAGTTATGCCAAAATATATTATACTTAAGGATAGTATTTTGTATCAAAGTTGATATCGAATAATATCAGTTGTTTTTGTTTGTTTTAGTTGGTTTTAGTGAATTTTAATGAAATTACTTGCTTCGAAGATAAGTGGATGTAAAATATATTTTATAATTTTTAATTTATTTTTTGTTATTTAACTATTTTTAACTTAATAAAAATAAAACTAATTAATTAAATAACTATTTAAAGTTTTTTTATTGTTATTTTTTTTGCACTTCATTTTTTCAAACCAAAATTCATAAATATTTTAATCTATTTCAAGAAAAGAATTTTACTCTCTCAATAAAGTTTAAGAATCTTAAAAACTAAAATTAATTTCTTTTTCATCTCTTTAGTTTTATCTTAAAATATTTTTTTTATGAAAAACACTTATTTAAAATATCATATAATTAAATTAAGCATTTAAAAATATCATGATAAATTGATGATATTATTTGTTATATTTTAAAACTTATTTATTTGATTTTTAAGATATTATATATTATTTTATAAATTATTAATAATATAATTATATACAAGTTCATATCTATTTATAATATGTTTAAATTAAATTAAAAAATTTATAATAATATATCAAAATAATTGATATTAATATATATATATATATTTTTAAAAAATAAAATATTATATGTTACAATATTACCCTTAATTTATACGGTATTTCAGATTTTGATTCATGTGCCAAAAGGGGGTATCATGTAAACTAGATATTTGTTGCCCGTGCTTCACGAGAGACACAGTTTAATTGAAAAAATTAATATATTTTATAAAATTTTAAAATAAAAATCACGATACATACTTTTTCATTTTTTACAAAGGTAATAATTTTTTAGAAGCTCCCGATTTGTTAAAATGTCTAAATAAATTAACAAATTTTAAAATAAAAAAATAAATTAACATGGAAATTCGCCTAATATATTTCAAAACTGTTGAAAGATAGAATTAAACATCAACAAAATAAAGTACTGTTGTTTTTAATTTAAACAGTAAAAAATAATTCCAATTGTACAACATTAATGGATTTATTTAAAATTTTACATGATTAAATACAAAGTATGGTGAAAATAACACTGACCCTCTTCTTTTGTTTATTAGAATTCAAGTGTTTTTTTGTACTTTTCTGTTTATTATTGTTCATCATTAATTATTTTTTACCGGACGTGAGCGCTATTAAGCCAGCTTCTTTAATGTGAAAGCAACAAGTGAGCAGTCCAAAGCTTTTATTTCTGTATGCGTTTGAATCACAAATGGAAAGATATAAAGTGAGTTGAAATCTAGAATTCTCTTTTGGATGCTGAACCTTGCTCTAGGGTAGTCAACTATCTTGGCTTTCTAGCTGCTACACTTTCCCTACAACTAGATTTAATCGTCCGTGAATTTGTATAATGAAAAAAACTAATAATTTATATATTTATATTGTATTTTATATAAAAATTTTATGTGAATTTTATTAAATTTGTATATAATTTTTATTTAAATTTTATATCGTTTCATATTTATATTTTTTATATTATTAATTGTATTTTAAATTATTAAATTTACTTACAACACTAGTCAATTGCTAAAACAATTCACAACTTGTTGCTGGACCAGCTTAAATGAGTACTGATATAACAGGGTATGATTTGTATTCACATACCAGCATGAATTAAGATGGGACAATGACAAAAAATGAAATCATTGTGATATGGGGTCAGAATCACGCATTCAGCGGAGCAGAACAAGCTGGAAAACCGACATGAGTCAATTTCATCAGCGAACTGAAGACTCTAACATCAGATCTACTCCTCACATTACAAGATGAGGTCACCTTCAAAATCAAACATAGGAACCCGGATTCAAGACAAATGGTGGACATGTGATATTTCCTTTCCTCTTCAGAGTTAAAGCAAGAAATCATGCATCAAATTGAAAGATACAAAAATTCAAAATCTTTGCTTACAAATACTACATTTACACATCTAACATGCTAAAATCGGGGCAGGACTAGATTCTAAGTCATTGTACAGTTGTGTGTACTAGACTGGTATGAAACAGAAAGACTATTATTTTATGCAAGAACAAAGGATGGGAAGAGAGACTACTGACAGGGTGTTATTTGAAACTTAAGTTTCTGTTTGTTTGTTACCATGGCTTCCCAGATCAGCTGCTGCTTGAGCTGCACGGCTTAACTTGCCAGAAACCCAAAGCGCTCCCTTGGCAAAATAGCTGCTATTGACTGCAGCATTGGCAGCTGCTACAGCAGTTCTCCCAGCAAAAGTTGCTGCCATTACAGCTGCAGTCCCAGTAACTAATGCAACAGATTTGGTGATGTCTGAAACATGAAACTTCTCATCTACTGATTTCACAGTTTCCATGCTAGTGTTGATCTTATCAGTTAAGCCAATTCTATTGCTAAGCTCAGCAACCTTGGCTGCTGCAGTAGCTGAGACCCGATAGGAATCATCAAGTTCTTTGGCCTTGATAAGAGCATCTTTGCCCAAAACAAATCCCTTGGCTAGCATTGTTTTGACAATAGTCACGGCTTCTCCAGGAGTAGAAACAAATTGGTCCATATGAGTGACCTGCTAAAATTATGGATGGTTTAGCTTGATAACTGATAGAGAGCAACTGAAACGACGAAGTGCAATACCATTATCCTTTACATGCAAAATCATTCCAAGAAACAATTCATCAAATTATCGGAAGCATGTGAGAGAATTAACTTGGATTACTCATTATGCTAAGCAAGTAGATATAATAATCAATTGAGCCATTAGGAAAAATTCTTAGATATGATCAGTAATTAAATAAGAAAAAGGCATATTAAGAAACAAAGAATGACAACTAGTATCGATACCAAATAGAAATATTCTATTTACATGAAGTTAATAAATAATTAGGCAAGTTTTGTTTTTGGTCATAGAAAAGCAAAAATGTTCCCATGACCCATGTTGCTCTTCGTTCTGACCAGCAAAACTAAGACAAATCAAGCAAAACAGTAGATAAGACCGCTGCAGAGACATCAGATGATCCCAACTTGTGGATAGTTCCAAATTTCTTCATCATGCCAAAAATCATCTTGCATTATATACCATTCCCTAATTATGAATCTAGGAGCAGATTAAGATAGTAACCTCAGAATGTAAATAATCTTGAGAGAACAACAACTTATTACGGTCTTCAACACTTATATTAACTTAATATCTGCTCTTCATATTTTGATACACAACAAATTGAAGATATACCAACCAATCATGAAGTAACTGTTTAATCTCACAAAATTCAAGATGTACCAACCATGGAATTTCTAAAGGCAACTGAGAAAAATATCAAAATCACACACTCATGTTGGTGTCCCTTACTGAGAGTCCAATAAGTAACATGTGCTTATCGGGGGTAGTGAACCAAGAATCAACTTGCTGTCCTCATTAATGAAATTAATGCATACCGTTGAGCTAGTATCCTCTTCAGTCTTCCATGAAGAACCATCCCAAGGATATCCATCATCTATGTATGAACCCCACCTCGATATGCACACAGACTGATCAACAATTGTAGCTCCCTGATACGTGAAAATTTGGGCAATAATGAGAGAAACAATAGCTGCAAAATATGAGGAAGGTAGGGTCATGATGTTAAGTTGCTAAAGTTCAATGACATCCCTGCAATCTTGAGTTCAGAGAACATTCAAACAGCATAGAAAATAAACTAAAATAATCGAAGAATTAAGGAGTCATCCCCCCTCCTCTTTCTTTTTCTGTGTCTGTGCTGAACAAATAAAGAAATCATCAGTCATCACTAGTCAACTCAATTAAAGGAAAATTTAGAGGAAGAAGATACCATACATCAGGATGCTAATGAGATTTTCTGTATTGATTGAAAAAGGAAAGAGATTAAGAGATTATCTTAAAAATTATCTTTCTCAATTAGAAATTGAAAGAACAAGTCTCATTTTCATTTAGTCTCCATACCAGAAGTCACTAGTTCCTCAAGAAATCAATTAGATCGACATCTTCATTCATAATTTTAATCTTCTTTCCAAATATTTACCCATTTGTGACAACAACCTCACCTGTGTTTCATAAAACCAAAAGGACAACAGCAAGTTTTTCCAATAAGGAAATGTTTGGAAGTTAGTTGATCAGAAATGTTTATTAATATCTAATAATTTATTGTCTGATATAAGTCACTAAACGGTGCACATTACCAGTTATACAAATTTAAAGAGAAGCAATCGCTTCTAGGATAAGTTACATGAAGCTGATGCACCAAAACTTATACCAGGTCCCTGGATAGATAAGGCCATTCAAAAAAAGTTCTAAAGTCTTAACGGACACACAGGATGTTGATATTGTAACATTATCTATGTGGTTCTGCTAAAGTCAAATTGCAGAAACTAGATGAATATCAGATGAGTTGCAGCATTACTTGGAAGCCTATTTATCGGTTAGATAAGATGATATGCATATCAGAGTTAATACATTTCGTGCATACAGGATGTAATGGTCACATATCAAAACCAAAACAAACATACTGAGGAAAGAAGAGGATCCAGACCATCCAGGTAGCAAAAACAACTCACTCAGAAGTTTTTTTTTTCTTTTTTTTTTTTTTTCAGAAAAGAAATGACAGTCATTTCCCTCTCCAGAAGTATGAATCAGAGCTTACACTGAGTAAGACGGCAGTTTCCAGTGAATAAGCATCTTTAAATGTCACATAAGCTGTACATGCATATTCCCCACATCTGTTTTCAGTAAAGAAAGCAGTTCTCTTCATTAAAGCATGAATTTGAAGAAATAATAGAATCAAAGAGATCATGCAAAACAAGTATGACACCACTCCAATAATGAGCAGCCAGTCACATTTGCATGATATTCACATGAGCACTCCAGAACCTACTTCTATCAGTGTCAGCATCAAATTACTCATATCTTAGGTTTAAATGAATGATAAAGTATAAGCAATTATTCATCAGCTAATCACATCACACTAAGGCATACCTACAAAAGAAGTGGACAGATTCTGTTAAAGAAAAAGTAAATTAAACAGCTTGATTATGGTAAACTTTCATTAGTGCAAGAAATATGTCACAGGCAAGGAAAAACGGCACTTAAATTTGTACATATTGTGGAGTCATATTCATATAACTGGGCAGATTCTGTTAAAGAGATTGATTTCCATATTTAAACAGATAGAAAGTACAAATATCTAACAAGAAAGCATTTCAGACAAAAGAACTCCTCACTTTTGACTTTTCCTAAAAGATTTGTAAACAATGAGTAAAATTAAACAGCTTGATTATAAAACCCTCCTTGATTCAAGAAATCTGTCACAAGAAAGGAAAAAGGAGCAAGCTGCTAAGTTACATTTGTACAAATTATGGGAATCATAACCTGAAGAAGTTCTACTAAAAAAGATTGATATTCCATAAAAATCAAGATTGAGATTATTAAGTATCCAAAAACAAAATCGTTTCAGATAAATGACTTCATAGCTTTTGACTTTTTTTCTGAAACAACCAATGAACAATAAGTTAAAACAAGTTTACAAATGCACAATAAATTTGAACAAAAACATGAAAATCCACCACAATAAATTTGAACAAAATCATGAAAATACACTATCATGGAGTGTAATTTGTGGTACATATTCAGGACCAAAAACTGAGTTGCGAAAGACTACCTGATAATTTCAACATGCTCAATTGCACTGCAGTAAGCAAAAAAGTTACAAACATCCTTCTCTGTAGCTTTTGGAGATAAGCTTGTAATTTCAGCAATGTAACCTCGAGGGTGCATTGTCTTAAAATTTCACTGAGATAAAGCCAGCCAGACAGAACCTATTTGAAGGTATTTAAATAAAATTTTAGAAGCCAACTTTAGGGAAGGTAGCTTGATAATGCAGAAATCATCTTTGTTCATTCAACACTTTATAATGCTGAAACCATTGCAATTCCATGGACAAGGCCATTTGTTTTGGAGAAATAGCTAAGATAAGGATAATGTCAGAAAGAGAAAACAGGCTTTATCATCTACGGGAAGAGTTACTTTTGGATGATTCTAAGGTCAATAATCCTCAGTGGTCTCTAGCTCTTACCCATCCTTGCATAGGTACAAAATGAAAGCCAAAAAAATTCCTGAATACTTCTAAAATCTAATGAAAATACCTTGCTGTTATTATTTTAGCTCGATTTTCTAGTATTGACTAGCCTTATTTGAACATTAACATACTTAAATTGCCATTACTACAATGCCAAAGCTATTTACCAAGTGGAGTTAAAACTCAGTAATCCCAAGCAAGGTGCCTTAATCTACTCCAGATCTGCTTTAATGCACCAAAAAAAAAAAAAAATCTTAGTTCAAGTCAAAGGTAATAAAAGGGACGAGCCTTGGGGACAGCCAAAGCACATACAATCCTCCATTGCAAACAGTTTAACTGGCTTTCATCGTAAGGAACAATGCAAGTCATACAATGCAAGCGTGAAAAAAGATTATCAAACTTTTTGGCTTAAAGTGCAAAAAAGGGCTCAACTGACATTAAAGATTACAACTTAATCAGTACTTAACCATAAAAAACATACATTAAAAAATTCAATTTTCAAGCATCCTATCAAACTTTTTGGCTTAAAGTGCTAAAAAGGGGCTCAACTGACATTAAAGATTACAACTTAATCAGTACTTAACCATAAAAAAAATATACATTAAAGAATTCAGTTTTGAAGCATCCTTTAGATTAGAGAAACAACAATCCTCATGATATTACATTGGAAATGGGGTACCAGGAAGGGGAAAACCAGGAAAAAGGAAAGAATTAAGAAGAAAAAAATGATCATAGCTGATCAATAATGGGAGTCAACAATGAGTGAAACAACCAAAAAATTTTCACCAAATATCAATTTAAAGGCCTGAATTTCCAACTACCAATCAAAGAACTCGAAGAAACATGGTTACTAATTGTCATAAACATGCTTAGAATTGTTTATTTGGTAAGCATATATTGATTGGCATTCTGGAAACACCTGAATTATAGTGAAAACCCGATAGACAAAAAGGAAAAGTGAACTCATTAAAGCTTAAAGAGTGCAAAAAGTCGAGAAAAAACTGATAAAATAAGCTGAAAAGGAGAACTGGGTATCATTGAATTTGCATGAAAAAAGAAGAAAAATGAAAAAAAAAGAAAAAAAAAAAAAGAAATGATACTATTACATACCTGTTGTTATTGATCTGATGATTAAGAGCTTAAGCATTATCAGAAAGAAGGGAAAGAGACAGAAGGCACAGCAAACCAACTTAAGCCCTCTCTGCCGACTAGGTAAGGTGATCTTACCAGATGGCTACAACCCCGCTCTCATTAATGGCACGTGCATGTTAAACAAGAGAGAAATGTTTTTTTCTATAAATAAAAATTTCTATTTATAATTTTATTTTTTAAAAGGGATATGTAAACAACTGCTATTCAACATTTATTAAACTTTGGAAAAAAAAAAAAACCCTTTATCAAACTCTAGAGAATTAATTTATTGTTTCATCATTGTTTCTTTGATGAACTTAATGAAAATTAATGAAAAAATATATTTTTTTGAAATAACATTTTAAGGAACACTGATAAGTTACTCTTAAAATTGCTATTCCAAATGTATTCAAATTAAAAAAGCAAGTGCTAAAAATAAAAAATGTAACTAATAGTTTAAAACATTTATTAGTAACGAAAATTTCTTCGAATGAAAAAAATTTATATTTTGATACCGATGATGATTAGAATTGTTTTCTCTTGTTTTGATTAGTTTTTTTTTTTTTTAATTTTCTTTTAATAGAATCAAACTTACAAAATACAAAAGTTTATGTTTCATGCAAATCGATTCCTTTCCGATCAATATAGATATAAGCAAATTGTTTAGGTTTATTTTTTACTATGTTTAAACTTATGCTATGCTACATCGTTTTAAAATATATATCCTAAAGTGATAATGATTTAGATTAGATCATATTTAATTTGATTATATGATTAATACATAATAATTTATTTGATTTTAAGTTAAATTTTCTTTAAAATAGAATTAGTTTGAATCAAATTTTATTTATTTAATTTGTTTCGATTTTAAAAATTATTTTTTTAATTTTCTGTTATTATTTTTATATTTTTATAAATAAATAAATTTAGATATAAAATAATTATTTTTATTTAAAAACTTTAAATTTTATATAGAAATTAACATTTTCTATAAAAAAATAAATTTGATTCTATTTAGATATTTTTATATTTCATTTCAAAATTTGAAAATTAATTTGAATTAAATTAAGATATTTTAATATATGAATCGAATAAAAAAGTTAATTCAAATCAAATTAAGCACACTGTTATTTTGAATTAATTTTCGAATTTCTCAAATTTTTTTTAGTCTCAAGGTTGGCCGTGCTGATCAAATATATATATGCAATTTGTATTTTGTATTGGGTTGTAGTAGCATTATTCTTTAAATGGCGCGTGATTCAATTTCTTCAAAGGAGCGTTAACGGGTTTCCCCCATATTTTGTTGAACTGAATTACCATCATAGCCTCGTAGCTTGATTTCTGCCATTCCATTGGAGGGGAATCTACTTTGGGCCCGCAACGCACACCAGCAAGACGTTACTCTTTACATCTTGAATTTAATATGTAGGTTGGCCCAAGATTTCTCCATTGTCCGGATTCCCCCTTTTTTTTTTTCTACAAAGTTTTTTTTTTTTTTAATTTTTTTAACATAAAGAAATAATATTGTTTATATAATTTTAGCAAAAATATATGATGGTTATTAGTTTTGGCATATATATATATATATATATATATGAATTTACATTTGATAAATTATCAATATATAAATATTATATATTATCAATACAATAATATCCCATAAAAATTATTTTTAGATATATTTTTACGATTAAATATATTTTTTTAAGATTTTAAAAATTAAAAATTAATTTTTTATGAAATATTATTATATGATTAATTGATAATATATAATATTTATATATTGATAATGTATTAAATATAGGCTTTTTATATATAATTTTTTTTAAAAAAATTTATTACTAAAAAAGGCCATCATTAGAATAAGACAATATCAACCAAGACTTTCTAACTGAAAATCCAAAATTATGTTTCCAAAATTAAACATAATGTATAGATTCTTAGGGTTTGAAATTATTTTTTTATTAAATCCATTTTTATAATGACCAAACCAAAAATAAAAGGAAAAGTAAATTTTAATACCACAAAAAAATTGTGCAAAGCCCAAAGACAATACAAAAAGGTAGAATGATGAAAGCCCAAAGGGGCTAAACTTTAAGGGCTGATATTGGTCGACATTTTTCAGTCATTTTCATTCCTTGAGAAATTTCACAAATTGCTTTAACAACTTTGCCTCTATTTTTTTTTTTCTCTATTGATCATGGATAGTACCGGACACATTCACCTCACCTAGTATATTCATTTGGTAACTCACTTTTTTATTTTAGATATTTAAGTGAAAATTACCAAAATTTTAATGAATTATAATAAAATTTTAAAAACTCGTATCATTGCAAGGCAAGTTTGCCTTCGATAAAAGGATAAAAAAGTTCAATGTCTCAATCTCCTCGTCAAGTTGAAGACAATAACTCTGACCCTAATTACATGATGTTTTAGTTTTCTATCACATTTTAAATGTTTGAGTATCCTTATGTTTTTATCACTACAAGGATTTAAGTTTTTAGTGATATTTTTTTTAACGTTTAGAGGTGTTTATAAAGATTATTAAAAAATTTATGACGTTTGCGAAAAATGTCATTTAGAGTACTGACTATACACGCATCGTAAAAAATAACGGTGTTTTAAAAAAAATGTCATCATTTTAGCAGCGTTTCTATCTTTGAAACGCTACTAAATTAGTTGCGTTCTTATGAGAAAAACGTCATTGCTTTGATAACGTTTGTAACTGAAAATGTCGTTACTTTAGAGGCGTTTGTATCTTTGAGACGCCTCTAATTTAGTGATTTTTTTATGAGAAAAATGCCATTGCTTTGATGGTGTTTGTAATTGAAAACATCGTTACTTTAAAGGAATTTGTATATGAAAATACCTCTATTAGCGATGCTTGTATCTTTGAGACACCGTTAGTTTAGTAGCATTTTTATGAGAAAAATACCATTGCTTTTGTGGCATTTGTAATTGAAAATGTCGCTACTTTAAAGGCGTTTGTATCTGAAAATGCTTTCATAATTATGGCATTTGTATCTTTGAGACGCCGTTAATTTAGTGACGTTTTTATGAGAAAAATGTCATTGCTTTAGTGGCATTTGTATAAAAAATATCACTTACTAGAGGCATTTGCTGGTAAAAGTGTCATTACTTTTAGTGGCGTTTTACGATACATATACCACTAAATTATTCATTTAGCGACATTGTTGAATGCAAACGCCGCCATTATGTAAAAATGTATTTTTTTTTAATTTTTGTTAATAAAAATTTTAATTTCATTAAAGAGCTTAAATTCAGAAATTGAAATTAATATAAACTTAATTCACGTTTAAGTATGCATTTAATTAATACAAAGTTTAATAATTAGTATAATAACATTCAAATATTTTTAATACATTAAGAAAATAAAAATTAAAATATATGAAATGGATGACTGCATACATTTTGGTGGTTGTAAATTGATGAAAAAAATTTTCACCTTGATCACTAGCGTGCTCAAGAATCTATTGAATAATACTATACAATTTTTAACACTTTATTATAAGCTTTTTTTATATTTAAAAATTAAATATTTACTAAATATAATACTTGAGTTGGTGGAGCACCAACATTATTTCTTGAAAATTGTTGTTGCACAAAATATATAAGATGATCGAATCATCATGCAACTGTTGAAATTTTGTATGTTCTTGCTCCATTCTAGCATGTTCTTTCCTCAATTTTGGCATGCTCCTATTCTCTTTCTGCTTCCATTTGCTGAAAATATTATTGCATAGTTTGCAACTCCCCTCTCAATATTGAAATATCTCACGAAGACTGATTTGCTGAAGATGTAAATTGCTAAGAGTTATGTACATAGTAGACAGATGGTTTTGGACCCAATCTAAGGCTTTGGACTCATCCATACCTTTCTTTTTTAGCAATTTCTATGAATATTTGATTTTTCATTTCTTGCATATTGAGAGAACCATTAGATGCTACTTTAATCTTAGCAGTCATTTTTTTTTTTTACTTTCTCTAGTGAATTTGTCATATGCAACTATTAAGTTTAATGATTAATTGATAATATGTTAAAAAGAGTAAATATTTACTTTTTGTTAAAATAGATGATATAAATTATCATAATTTTTTATGTTTCGACATTCATGTAAGATCTATTTTTTTGTGTGTTATGCAACAAAGTTTCACACGTCTAATTGTACCACCCATATCATTTTTCTATGCAAAGACATATGTTATTTGATAGGATATATATCAACTATAACTTATTCATGTATATCAAGCCTGTCAATCAAGTATTAACATTTTGAATAATTTTAATCTAATGTATTTATATTTTACCCCGTAACAACACAATAGTCTTAAACATACGTAAACAATAAAAACATTTTAGGCTTTCACACATATCGATCATGAAAACCAAATTCAATTATTTTCTTCTGGTTTAATATCAAGGATTGAAGCCATTCAATATGTTGAAAGCCATCTAAAAGTTTAATTTGTATATTTGCCTTTTATATGCCCAAATAGTCTCAAATAGATATAAACGATAACTTCTTCTCCCATATCAATCGTAGAAACTAAGTTTAATCAATTGGACAAATTTAATATCAAGTATTGAAGCTATCCAAACTGTTAAAATACAACAATAATAACAAATTTGTATTTTTACCTAAATATATGTAAATAATAACTTTTTCATACATATCATCTGTGTTAACTAAGTTCAAAACTTTCGATAAGTTTAATATAATGTATTGAAACTATCAAAGCTATTAAAACAGAACAATAACTGTTAATTTGCATATTTACCTTTTAACGATAGAAAAAGTTCATTCATTGGAATAAGTTTATTATCATAAACTTACCATTTCTTTTTGCTTTCTTGCAAAACTTTTTGATCCACTTGTGTGGCTATATTTCTATTGCTTTATGCTACCAATCCTAATATGTTCTCTTTCCTATCATAAAAAATAATTGCGTATATGATAGAAATACAAATATTACCAATTTAAACCATAAAACACTTTCATCATTTTATTATACTATACAAAGTTATAAACTAGTACCTCTCATTTTCTTGAGAATCAAAATCTGACTAATTGTTCA